GCCCCGGTCCCGAAGCGTGTCGTACCTGCCAAGCCAACGACCGCACCGGTTGCAGCCAAGCGTACAACCACGAAAGCACCCGCCAAGCCAACGCTTCCGGCCAAGCCAACGCTTCCGGCCAAGCCAGTGCCTCGTCAAGCAGCACGCGTGCCGACGGTCCTCGCACCTACCGCAATGACACGCACGGTCAAGCCGTCATCGTCGGCGCCGCAGCCCTCTCCAGCGTTCATCAAGCCCACTCGCTCTCCAGAGGCACCCGTTCGCTCCGTAGCACCACCAAGCGAACCCTCTGCTGCGGTAGCGATCGTTGCCTGCGACTGCAAGTCGGTGATCACTTCTCTCCAAGACGAGAACAGTCGTCTCAAAGAAGAGCTTCGGGTTGCCCAAATGGCGCTGGTCGAGTATGCAAGCAAGGTGCAGCATCTCGAAGCTGCCTCGCGCGCACATGATGCCACGTCACTGGCTTCGCCCAGCTGCGAAGACATTGTTCCCAACTCTGCGTCGACAACGACGACCCCAACAGACGCTCCAATTGTCCTCCCGGTAGCCGACGTCGAGCCGTGCAGCAGTGCAGCCACGACGACGCTGTCGTCAGAGGAGGTCGTTCCAAGACCCTTGTCCGCGGCACCACGGTCGCCGACACAACGCGATGATGCGAGCCACGCTGGCCTCACCAACCTCGGCAACACGTGTTACATGAATGCCATTCTGCAGTGCCTCGCGCACACGCCGGCACTCGTCGACGCGCTGTTGTCACAGCAGAGCGAGTCCACCACAGCTCGAGCCCTCACACGCGTCATATCGGGCATCCTTGCCAACGACGCTGCCTCGTACTGCAGCGACCAAAGAGCCTTGGTGCCACCGTTCCACTCGGCCTCGACGCAGCAAGATGCGAGCGAGTATCTATCGTGGCTCGTCTCGGATCTCCAAGTCGCTTCCACGATCCCCGAGGATGTTTTCGGCTCGTACTGGACTGCGACGAGTACGTGTCCCCACTGCGGCCTCGAGTCCGAGGCGTCGGAGGCCTACCGGGACATTTCATTGATGGCGGAAGAGACGACGTCGGTCGCGGCTGGTCTCGCGAACTTCGCGACCAAAACGCTCCAGCGGACGTGCGACCGCTGCCACATCTTTGGCACGTCCGAGCAGCACTGGACGGTACTCCTCGCGCCGCCCGTGCTCGTTCTCACTCTCAACGCGACCCGCTACAACGTCAAGGACACCAGTCGTCATGTCGTTGTAGACGAGGTGCTGGCGCTGGGTGCAGTGAATTACCGTCTTGTTGGTCTCGTCGGTCATCGCGGGTCCTCGGTCCTCAGTGGCCACTACGTCGCGTACGTGCGCCGGTCCAACGACTGGCTGTGTATGAACGACGCACGAGTCTCGGTCGTGTCGCCTCGCCTCGTCTTGGCCCAACGCGCCTACGTCCTCTTCTACGAACGCATGGTCGAGTCGTGAACCCAGAAATTCGACCAAGTCCCATCAACCTCCACATTGCGTCATGGACGAATAGCGTCCATTCGCAACGTAGTACAATGGCTAGTTGGACGAAGAACGTCCATTTTAAGATAGCTAAGATGAAGCCACCAATAGGTGACACCGTTGATCTTTAATGTTGTCGCATCATCTCCATTTGTATAGTTTTCAGAGGTATCCAATATCGAGAGACTTGACCATGGCATCTCGCCGCCTGTCGACATTTGCCAAATCCTCTTCATGGTGTCGCAGCCACCGCCGATCCCACTGGACGACGCAGTCCACCAGATCCAGATCTTCGATAACAACTTCTCCGAGACACATGCACGGACATGGCCAACCAGCGCATGACGATCCAGGACTACAAGCATGATATATCTTTTTGCGACCAAGCCTGATGTCGAGACATGCAGTGATGATGCGCGGCGCGGCCGACGAGCTGCCGGTCGACGCGGTAACAAGGTGAGCCGTCGTGCCGCCACGTCACCAGATCTCCTCCGGACAAACAGGCAGGAAGCTGTTCAAAACCAAGCTCGGGAACAGCTCGATTCCCAACCGACTGACGGCGACGCCTCTCAACTGAAGAGTTAGCGTATACAACGAATACTCGCCAATAGTACTAGTTGGTACTAGAACTGGTGTCACACACTAGAGTTGGCTTTGAAAAGGAGGAGCTCTTTGCGTGCGCTGCTTAAGAGTTGTTTGTAGTACCTTTTCTGTATGCCGCGATATGATTGGTTGCTTTATGACCGATTCAACGCTGAGGATTGGTCAACGTCGATGCGAGGCCAACTCAAATTACCTTGATATATGTATTTGAATCGATGGCCGGAAAGCCATTGGCCAAAACTACTCCATTCCACATAGCCCTTGCACCACCGCAACAACGCACGGAAGCATGGGGCACCGTGGACGCATGCCGCACAACAACATCATGTCGAGCAGCGACACGCTCAAGATGACGGGCATCTGGAAGAACACGATCGGATATGACCCGTACGCTGCGGATGTACGTCGCCCTCGAGCCTTCCTCGCAGCCGCCTCATGGCAACACGATCCTACAACTAGGGCGAAGGCCAGGACCCAGGGCAATCCGCGTCCTCGATCGAGCGCGCCAAGGGCTTCATGGCGCTCGCCAAGCTCTCCAACAAGGCGGTACGTCCTGCTTCTCGTCGCTGGGCCATGCCTCACGCCGCCGCCTTGTAGAACGACACA